CGTTGATTTGGAAACGTCAAGTCGAAGCCTGTTGTGGTCACTATCTTTTGCCACTTCGTTGTCCAGTCTCGAGTTGGCATGTTCCCTTGAGAGCATGTGTACACCTCATTCATGGCCGCCTTCACGACGTTGCGGACCATGAACCGGGTGAACCATAGCTGCTCGAACTCCTTCCACGTAATGTGCGTGTGGAGTTCGGCGATAGTGCACTTGTGTGTAGCCGCTAGGTGGTTCATCCATCCCTGCGCTCCTCCAATCAGCTGCAGATATGGTGCCTTCAACATATCGTCCGCCGGGACCATGAGGCATGATGCTTCCGTGAGGAAGCGTTGCCACCATGACAAGGCGTCCGACTTGTTGTAATCGTCGAACTTGCTGATGTCGAAGTGCGGCATCTTGAACGTGTTTGCAGCGGCTTCCGGTCTCGTCTGTAGCTTGGTGAGGTCCGTCGTGATGGCAGCCACCGTGCTGCTGATCGAGTCTGGTCCAGTGAACGTACTTATGTCGCCGATGATGGTGACGACGTGATCGATGCGCTCATTGAGTTGCTTCGTCATGTCTGTCGTGCAGCCTGGCGCTGCTGAGGCGTTAGCCTCTATGCTGTTGACGCGTGTGATAGTGTAATTCAACAGTTGATGTTGTTGCTGCTGCTGCATTGCCTCTGTGTGGATAGCAGTCGTTAACGTAGTGATATCATTCTTGTATGTTTGTCGCTGTGTCGCGTCTGTGCGCAGATGTGAATGCAGCAGTGTATTATTCCACATAATACCTCTCATCATGCCCAACAGCAAGTTAGCTAGGTTACTTCTCTCTGCCTCCGCCGGTGTCGGGTCTGCCTGCACTTCTGAAGGCACAAAGATCATGTGTTGGAGTATCGTCGTCCACTGATGCTCACAAGCAATCAAGGACTCCGTGCTGCTGGCATTCCGTCTGTCTCGTGTCGCTGCGTCAGTCTCAGTCGTTCGCTGAGCTTCGGCTGCCGCTTCATTGGCTAGCCGCTGACGTTCTGCCTCTGCTATCTCCTTCCGGGCCTCGACGGCAGCTACGGCTTCTGAAAATGCAAGTAGCCGCCCACGATAATCAGCCGCTGGCTCGTTGGCTCCTCGGACTGGGTACGCGGGATGATCTCCGGTGGCGTCTTGTACCATCAATGCCGTACTTGATGCTGCTGGAGTCGTCCGTCTGCTGAGTTTCTTCTGTCTTGGAGGTACTGCAGGGCGGGCACGAACTGCGATTCTGGCACTGCGTCGTGGCAGTGCCCCGGTGTCCTGTCCCGTCGACATCAGTCTGAACCGATGTGGTACTTGAGAAGTCCCGGTAATCAAAGAACACGGGGGGTAGGGAGAGTGGGAACAGGGGTAGAACAATCAAGCAATATACATACAATCCCCTGTCCCACTGATGGACTGTAGACACCTAATCAAACGGAAAAAATAATTTTCCCGTAAACCCTTCGAAAAATTCGTAATAAGGAGTTTATAACGATTTAATCAATAAAATTAATTAATGATAATTAACGAAAATAAATCCGAATGATAATCAGTAAACAATGTTTGTAATAAAGATAACCAACTAATGATAATCAGTAAAACAATGTTTGTAAATAAAGATAACCAATTAATAACGAATTTGAAAGGTATATGATTAGGTCTCTTTGAGATCACTATGAGACCGTGAGTTCTCCGAATAAGTGAACTGCCCGGTAGTTGCAATTTAAGGTCAGATACGGCTTAGTGTGCTTAAAAAAAAATTCGGAAAATTTCAGAAGAAAAACGCTCGAATTTTCAAAAATGCGAAGTTTCGAGAATTTCCACCGTCAAAATCCGATTTTTAAAAGCCTAAACCTGTTTTCGGAATTTCTCAAACAAGGAGAACGAAAAAATTTCGCGAAAATTTCGGTCCCAACCCTAATTTCAGCGTTTCGGCGAAATTTTTGGATTTACGGTCCCAAAACGTTAGGGTTTCCCCAAGTTGATGTAAAACCAAAAGATTTTCATAATCCTAATTCCCATACTGAAAGACAACGGAAATCTCATCAGAAAACGAAATATAGGATTTACAACAGAATGCCGAAAACGGAATGCTGAATGAACATCAGAAAAACCCGAATTTCAAACATGATACTGATTCAACCCTAATTACGAATACTTAATCAGAAATTTTAATCAAACAGAATGTTGGATTAGTATCAATCTCTCGGATCTCATTGAACAGCATACCGTGTACAACAGAAATCCGAATAAAGTCCGAATACTGAATTGAAACGGAAATGCCGAAATAGCGAGAATACCG